CCAGGGCAGGAAACACATGAAGGCAAGGCGTCCTTGGCCAATGAACTGTAGGAACTACAGCGCTAGAATGCCCTGCCCTGCATTCTGCCCAACTGTCTCCTTTACACATGTAAAAGTCCTAGCACCCCATGAGACCTACAACTTTCCTATAGCTCCTAAATGCTTCCCTCCTCACCCCACTATCATGATCCCAATTCTACCATACAAATCCGGCTAGATCAGAGGATGTACACTGGTACAGATAGGAACTGGAAACACAGGGAATCCAGAACAGATTAACCCTTCAGGACCAGTGGTCATGTCTGTGTCTCATGGTGGGGCTGGCCCTATGGTCCTCTCTGTACAATGTCTTCTCTGAGCAGGAATATCATCCTTGGTGTTTGGTGGGCCAAGATGTGTTACACTCTCTCCTTCCCTCTTCGTGTGCTCCTGTGTTCTCTGATCAGATGTCCCCCTCTCCGGAGCTGTAGCTTCAGTGCTGTCCTCTGAAGTGTATTCTTCTGGGAGGGGAGGGGGGGTGTGCCCACATAGTTGGGTTTGGGGCTGGCCCTGCACACCTTTCTGTTGGTTCCCTGCTTCATGCTGTATGTTATATTCACGTCTTGGCACACTGGGTTGAAGTCTGGGTTGAAGTCTCTTTCCACCCTCCTGTGGAGATATAAATAAAACCTTCCTTCCCCTTGGTTGGGTTAGTGCCCTGTTTCCCCACAACTGGTTATTACCTTTCATCGTAAATAGAACAACTAACTAGAGCAGCGATTCTCAACCTATTTCTGATGGTCTTTGGAACCGACACCACTCCTCTATTCGTCTCCGGGCGGGTCCGACCAATGCAGATATGCCCACAGACGAGTACCCAGCGTGAAGACTGTTACCCATGCTACAACATGCTTCAAGACAAAATTTTATTGTCATTAGAAGCCAATATTTCACAATATATAATTACATATTGTTTTTGTGATTCATCACTATGCCTTAATGATGTTCCATTTGTAACAATGAAAATACATCCTGCATATCAGATTTTTACAAGATGATTCATAACAGTAGCAAAATTACAGTTATGAAGTAGCAACAAAAATAATTTTATGGCTGGGGGTCCCCACCACATGAGGAAATACATGAAAGGGTGGTGGCATGAGGCAGGTTGAGGACCACTGCCCTAGAGGGGTGGGTATGCTGCTCCTGCTGCTGCTGTTGATAGATGCCATTGAGTCCGTTTCAGCTCAGAGAGCGAGTACAACAGAACGAAACATTGCCCGATCCTGTGCCAGCCTCAGAATGTTCATGTTTGTACCCCTGTGTTGCAACCCCTGTGGCCGTCCATCGTATACAAAGTCTCCCGTTTTATCTCTGGCCCTCTACCGAGCATGATATCTTTTTTCTAGAGACTGATCCTTTTTTTTTAAATCATTTTATTAGGGGCTCATACAACTCTTATCACAATCCATACACATATCAATTGTGTAAAGTGCATTTGTACATTCATTGCCCTCATCATTCTCAAAACATTTTCTCTCCACTTAAACCCCCGGCATTAGGTCCTCATTTTTCCCCTCCCTCCCCGCTCCCCCCTCCCTCATGAGCCCTTGATAGTTTGTAAATTGTTATTTTGTCATATCTTGCCCTGTCCGACGTCTCCCTTCACCCATTTTTCTGTTGTCCGTCCCCCAGGGAGGAGGTCACATATAGCTCCTTGTAATTGGTTCCCTCTTTCCTACCCACTCTGCCTCTACCCTCCCAGTATCGCCACTCACACCACTGGTCCTGTAGGGCTCATCCTTCCTGATAACATGTCCAAAGTACTTGGGACAAAATTGTCATTCCTGCTTCTAAAGAACATTCTGGTTATGCTTCTTCCAAGATAGATGTATTTGTTCTTCTAGAAGCCCAAGGTGATACCAATATTCTTCACCAACATTATATTCCAGCTTTCACATGCGTATGTAAAGTGCACATTAAAAACACCTCGGCCTGGGTCAGGCACACCTTAGTCCTCAGAGGGGCATCTTTGCTCTCTGACGCTTTAAAGAGGTCTTGCTGCTTCCAGGAGTGTTGATTGTAGATCCAAGTGACATGAAATGCTCGACATCTCCCATCTTTTCTTTGTTTATCGTGATGTTATTTTTCGGTCCAGTTTGGCGATTTTTGTCTTCCTTACATGAGGTATAACCCATACTGACCTCCTTCAGTAAATGCTTCACTTGGCTTTCAGCAAGCAAAGTTGTGTCATCTGTATATCACAGGTTGTTAAAGAGCTGTCCTCCAATCCTGATCCCTCTTCATAAAGTCCGATTCATGAGGAATGTGTTCTAATAAAAGCAATTACGTAGTAGTGCTGATAATTTGTTGTTTCATGTTACATTGAATACTGTCGTTAGACGTTAGCCTGTGGCCCTCAGGATCCACCCCAGCTAAAAAGAAGCCACGTGTAAGTTCAAACTGCTGCCTTAGGTTTGTTGCAGGCTATGTAGAATTGATAAATGAATGCTGTGTTTACATTTTAGAATATCATAAACTGCTGACTAAGAGTGTGGCAGAGACTCCAGAACATAAGCAAATTTCCAAAAGACTGCTCCATAAACAGATCAAGGGCAGGTGAGTAGTGCCCAGCCTTCCCAGCAACCTTGTGAGCCTCTGTCTGCTTCCTGGCTTGTCTCACTGCTTCACTGCATTGCGTTTAGGCCTTTTAACTGCTGCACGTAATCAAAGACCAGTCTGTACATTCTGTACATTATCCAGCTTAACCATAGTAATGTCACGAAGTATAATTTTCGGGCATTTCAAAGTGTAGAAAGGATGTTTTCTTATGCACCAGCTCTTGATTCTTAGCACCCTTGAAGCAGATACAACAGGTGCAGTGACTATTGTGTCGATAGAGGAAGTGAGGCTCGATGGAGCATGTGACTGGCTGCAGTTCCAGCGATTAATGTCAGGATGTTTTGAAAAAATCAGTAGCCTTATAATCCATACATTGAGTTTGCATTGTAGTGTTTTCCCACTAAAGTCTAATCTATGAAATGGATAGATCTCATTGCTTTTTAGTAATAAATCTGTGAATTGGGAAATGGCAACCTGTATTCACTGGTTCTTTTTCTTTTGAAGTTATAAAATAGTGCAAATAGTCCAATATAGAGAATATGATTACAAAATGCATGTAATCCTATTTTATATTAGATAAACAAAGTAACTCACAACCATTTCAAGACTTAAGTATAAAAAGAGCTAAAGTCATTAAACACTCAGAAGAGAACATAGGCATGAATATTTGTGACCTTGGATTAGGGCGTTAACTTCTCAGATATGGCACCGAAATGCAAATAGAAGGAAAAATCAATAATTGGATTACATCAAAAGTAGAAAGTTTCATGTCCAAAGGACACTATTGAGAAAGTAAAAAGACAACCCACAGAATGGGAGAAAATATTTTCAAGTCATATATATGATAAGGGACTAAATCTAGAAAATATGAAGATTCACATCTCATGATGAAAAGGCTGGTAAACCAATTAGGATTTGACTAGGCATTTTTCTACAGAAGATACACAAAGGCCAATCTGCACTTGAAAGATGCATTATTAGTATTTAAAAATAGCATAAAATGTTGACAAGTTGTTTCTCAAGTGACTATAGAACAGAGTAGAACTACTGGCCTTAGGATTTCCAAGGCTGTGAATCAAATGTCAATAAAACCACAGTGAGGTCCTGCTTTACAAAACTCATTAGGACAGTGGATCTCAACCTTCCTCATGCTGTGACCCTTTCAGACCGTTCCTCATGTGGTGGTGACCCCCAGCCATAAAATTATTTCCGTTGCTACTTCATAACTGTAATTTTGCTACTGTTATGAATCGTCTTGTAAATATTTGATATGCAGGATGTATTTTCATTGCTAGAAATGGAACATCATTAAAGCATAGTGATGAATCACAAAAACAATGTGTAATTATATATTGTAAAATATTGGTTTCTAATGACAAATGAAATGTTGTCTTGAAGCATGGTGTAGCATGGGTAACAGTCTTCACGCCGAGTACTCGTGGTCAGATCTGCCCAGAGATGGATAGAGGAGCGGTGTCTTGGTTCTTAAGACCATTGAAAATATGTGTTTTCCGATGGTCTTAGGCGACCCCTGTGACAGGGTTGTTTGACACCACCACCCCACCCCTGAAAGGGGTCGAGACCCCCAGGTTGAGAACCGCTGCCTTAGGATGTTGCCATGGGCAGCAGCATGAAGCACAGCCCGCCCTGCACCGGCCTTGCAGCTGTTCTGTTGGAGCCCGTTCTGGGAGCCACGTGTTGACCCATCTCTTTAACTATTAGGACAACTATAATAATTTATAAAACCTAAGTAAATCAGACAGTAATAAATATTGACAAAGATACGGGCAAACTGAGCCCTCACACATTGTGAGTAACTATGCCGTGATGCCATTTCTTTGGACAACACTTCGGCAATTCCTCATACTGTTAAACACAATGATCTGTGCGTGTTTTCACACAAATGTGTGTGTTTCAAGTTACCATGTGGCTCAGCAGTCCCACTCCCCACAGAATTAAAAATAGTTTTACATAAACTCTTACACACAAATGTTCTTAGCTAGCAAGATTTATGACAGCCAAGAAGAGAAAGCAACCTAAATGTCCATCAATTGGTGAATGAATAAGGAAACCATGAACAAACAAGATACCTACAATGGAATGTGATTTGGCATGAAAGCAAATGAAATGTTATGATATGGATTAGTATTAAAAACACACTAAGTGGAAGAATCCAGAAACAGACCACTGTGTCTGTTGGAGATACTATGATACTATATCTATATGGAGATAATAATGCATAAAATAAATGTCCAGAATAGGCTAATTCATAGAGACAGAAAGAGGATTGGTGGATGCCAGGGGTGTGGGGGAAGGAAAGAATGGGCAGTAACTGTCAACAGATAAAAGCTTTCTTTTGAGGATATGGAAAATGTTTTGAAATTAGTTGTGAAGATTTACATAACTTTATAAATATACATTTAAAAGACTACTGAGTATAGTACATTTTGTCTTTAAAGAGCAAACTTTTGTGAATTATATAACAATTTAAAAAATACTTTCCAGCATTATTGAATAAATTATATAAATTGTCATATCATAAAGATAAATTTAAAACTTCAGATTTTTAGTTGAAGCCCATTGGTAACATTTCACTTTTTTTTTACTTGCTGAATTTGATGCTTACCATCCCTCCTGCATATGTTTGTTTCATGTGTGTGTGTTTTGAGAGTTTGCCTGTGATCCACATGGTCAGCAGTTCAGAACCACCAGCAGCTCCTTGAGAGAAAGATGAGGCTTTCTACTCCCAGAAACAGTTAGAGTCTCGGAAACTCACAGGGGTCACTATGAGTTAGCATGGACTGCATGGCAGTGAGTTGGCTTTTGCGGTTGGTTGTATATAGAATTCCAGTGACTACTTAAATACATCAGTATGACATGGGTTTTGACTCCCAATTTGGGAGAATTCATTTTTGTATCTGCAGCACCTTTCACTGAATCAGTTACATTTATGCCACTAATTGGTTAGTTTTTTCTATTTCTCACAGTTGCAATACCATCTCTTCCATTTTTCAGATTTTCACACATGCTTTGGTCTGTTTGAGACTCCCTATTTATGTTCCATTTGTTATATACTAAGACAGGAGTCCTCAAACTTTTTAAACAGGGGGCCGGTTCACTGTCCCTCAGACCCATTGGAGGACTGGAATAGTTTAAAAAATTAAAAAAAAAACTAGTTTAAACAAATTCCTATGCACATTGCACATATCTTATTTTGAAATAAAAAACAAAACGGGGCAAAAACACCCGGCGGGCCGGATAAATGCCCTCGGCGGATCGTATGTGGCCTGCGGGCTGTAGTTTGAAGACCCCTGTACTAAGATACTGTGTTGAGTTTTTTTGCTTCATAAATCTTGGTGTCCAGTAGGCCAGGCCTCTCACCTTGCTCTTAATTCCCACATACCACATATAACACAGACTCATAACCTGTTCATTACCACCACATGGTCTTGACAGGATCACTTTATGACACTGTTAACTGCCTAATTCCTGAAAACAAAATTCTAAGAGTCATCTTTAATTCTTTCCCTTCTGTCATCTCATACACATCCAACATTAGTTCTTTTCCCAAGACCACTTCCTGCCATCTCCCAGCCACCAGCTTCTCTTGCCTAAGCTCTTCCAGTAGCTTTGTACCTGGTCTCTCTCACCCCATCCATCCAACCCACATAAGCAGAGTGATCTTAAAACCTGGACGTGAGATCAGGTTTCTTCCCATTGCTCCTGACCATGGCTTCCCTGTCCAACCTGACCATTGACTGCCGCTTGCCTGCTTTCTTTGGACGACTTTGGTACACCCAACTCATGCCCAGCTTGGAGCTCATGAACTGTCTGTTTGCTCTGTCTGCACTGCGCTTCCATTTCATCCCCGATCAAGCTCGTGCTGAAGGCAGGGGGAAGTCAAATTACTGGATGTGAACATGATGGATTAATCTTGATGTTGTGAAATTAATTATCAAGAAAATTTTCCATCAATTTTCTGCTCAACAATAATGTAAAGAGGGTACTTGGCAACACCAGTGTTAGCCAGCCCAGTGATCTTGGTCGGCTTGCTAGGTGAGAGGCTGCAGCTCTCTGAGTGGGGTGAACAACCCTTGTTCTTGTCTCCTTTCTCAAGGTCCTCTGATCCTGGTCCTGACATTGACATTGTTGAGGAGTCCCCTGAAAAAGAAGAAAGTGGTGAGCATAACCCACATTTAGTGTATTTTCTGCATTGTGCCTAGTTTCTTTATAAACCTTTCTGCACGTGTGTTGTTGCCTAGCAAATCTTAAGGTGTTTCACAGAAACGGTGACAATCCAGATCCCACCATTTTGGCTTGATGTGTGTCCATAGCAGAATGTTCTTTGACCTTGAATTTACTGAGAGAATTTCTGGAGAAGAAATGTTTTTACCCAATAGAAATGGGATAGAGGGTGAAGTCTAATCTATGCCGTGCTTGGTGCTACGGCTTACCTAAACCAATAGGAGGCCAAGTCCAATACAAAATTCTCTCTCTTTTATTAATTGTGCAAAACACTCCCGTTTATTGTAGAAATCAGGAAATGTAGATATGCCAACTTTTAAACATTCCCTTAGGAATCCCACAATTCTGAAATATTCTTGTTAACATTTTAGTGTATATTTGAACTGGTATTCTTTCTATACAAACCCATGCAAAAACTCTTATGCATGAAACCTAATTTTCTTTCCTTTTATGAAAGTCACATACCTGATTTTCATGCTTAAAGGTGGCAGTTTATAAGACTTTTGAAGATGACAATCCAGAGCACCTCGTGGGGGCCATATGTAAAAGCCCTCTTAGCCTCGGTACACTTGAAGCCGTGCGTTTTTAGAGTTTCTGCCTTGTGCTTGGTATTGCATGATCTCTGCCCATTTCTGACAAGATGGGGAAACGTCAAACTCGTCCTGCTCCTTAGTAGTACTGACTATGGTTCTGATTTTGTAGAACTAAATTTGAGACGAAGTCCTCGAATCAAGCAACTATTAGCCAAGAAGACACATTCTTGTTCCTTCTACTCAGCATCTCACCCAAAGTCTCGAAGTGTACAGAGAGTTCACTCCTTTCAGCATGACAAGTCAGGTAACACGGCACCCGCCTGCCTTGATAGATCCGTTCTGATGTGGGGGTGGATAGGAAATGTAACATTTTTTCCTTTGATGTTGGAAAAGTGCATAGTAGAACAGGTCTGTGTATTTGAGGTTCGGGCAATGACTATGAACAGACGTTTTGCCAAGATCAGGTCACTCCTTTGGATTCCTACAGTGAAGTTCACACTGTCTTCAAAGATGTCACTTTGAGGACTACGGGGCAGTTGGCCCAAATAGTGGTATTTTCCATTGCCTCGTGTGTATGTGAAAGGTGGCCATGGAATAAGGAAGCCCGCAGAAGAACGAATGATTTGGGTGCTAGTATTGGTGAATAGTGACTGCACCATACACGGCCAGAAACCGCACAGCTCTCTCTTGTTGAGCTACCATCACCGTGCTGCTTGGAAGTGAGGGGAAGAGACTTTATCTCCATACTCTGAACATAGCAGGAGAGATCAGTCCTGGGAGAAGGGCATCACACTTGGTGTAAAGCGGAGGGAGGGAAAGGCAGGCAGGCCCTCATGATGGATTGGTACAGTGACTGCAACAGTGGGTTCAAACTATTCACAATTGTGAGGCAGCACAGGACCGGGCAGTGGTCCATGGGGCTGCAGGGCGGCGAGGAGTCAGAAGTGACTCTGTGGCTTGTATTAACATTCACTCGTTACGTAGCTTTGGTAAAATGTCGTCATGCCTCTACAGCTTAGTCATTGGAACCATACCTCCCCATTGCCTACATTTCTTGGTGAGCTGGGACGGGGCTGATGTGAAGTCTGATCCAGTTCATTGCAGTTGCTGATATAATTAGTACAATTCTGCTCCCAATAGCTTTCAAAGACTTTAATCTCTTTGTAATAGTCTTGAGAAGATAGAAGAGGTGAAGGAATAAAATATTATTCTTTTTTGTTTGTTTTTAACTTGTAGGTCAAAGAGAAAATTCCCCAGTTCAAAGTATTCGGTCTCCCAAAAGACTTCTTTTTGGGGCAGTGTCTGAAATGACCAGCCCCTCAGGGAAGGTCTCAGCCCAGTCGACAAGGCCTTCAAGAAACACAGACTCTAAGCTACCTACAGCTTATCAGGTATACTACTTCTAGCACATTCAGAGTGGTGGGCTCTAGGGGAATACAGAGACGTGGCCAAGGGGACCCACAGAATACCTTATGGAATAAAAAGAAGGTAGCTATTAGAAGTGTGGGTTTGGGGTTGATTCAGAGGTAGGTGGGGACTGAAGATGGCAGGTTTAGTTGAGGCCAAGATTGTGGGGAGGAGATGAAGGTGACTCCTTCCACCAATTAACCTCACCAGAAGCGCGTTCTGAAATATGTAAGGGGCTTCCAAAAGTTCTGGGGGAAATCCACTTTTTTCATTCCGTTTTGCCACAGACCTTCTGAAGCCCCTCGGACAGTAATCGGTCGTTTGTTTGAGTTGGATTGTCCACTCCATCTAGTCACCCATGCTAGAATCCTGGAAATCACCCTTTGCTTTTGCCCAGTCAGCCCAGTCCTGCCCATTTTACAGGTGAACCGTCTCATGCCCATCCCTTTTTCCTCATCCCTGCAAGTCCTGCTCTTGTTCAGGCTCTTCGTGAGTTCTACCTGGGACAGTTCAATGACCTTGCCCTCTCGGATCCGTCCTCTGCAGGGGTCAGAGCGAGTGGCCTCTAGAAAAGTTCATCTGACTGTCACTTGGTGTGAAACTGCAGACTTGCTGTCTGCTAAAGCAGGGTGTTCTCTTTTTCTAAAATGGAACTTGGGTTCAAAAGAATCTGTTTGGAAGCTCAAGAAATGATTTAGAGGGTGGGGGTGGGGAGGGGAGCGGGCATGGAAAGCACAGAGCTCTAGAGTCCTGGTCAGACTCTTGGCTGCCGCCGCCTCCTCCACTCTCCACCCTAACTCCTCAGCCCGCCTCACCCCCCACCTCCCTCCCAGCAACACTGGCTGGCGCATATCTGTTACCTGTCTGTTCTGTGCCTTTGCTCATGTCCCCCCTCCCCCAGCTGTGCGCCCATACTGTCCAGTGATTCCTGGTGCCTCTGTGACAGAGTGCAACTGCCCCATCGTTTCCTAGGCTGTGATCTTTCCAGAAGCAAATTACCTTCTGAGACTTCCTTGCTCTCTTGAATCCAACTGGTCCCCTGGAGCCCACCATTTTGATGGACCCTTTATGTGAAAGCACCCTAATTAGACTAAGTCAAGTGGGTTCCTGACAGAGGGTGTCTTCAGCCATCCACTGATCCCAGAGACACTTTTAAAACAAGTTTTATCTGGAGTACACCTATGGGTGTGTGAAGTGGAACCCCCGATCGCAATACTTTTTGAATTAGCCCATATAGTCCATAATACCCCTCGCCCCTTCCTCAGCACCCACACTGCTGTAAGTAAGTAAGAGTGTGCTGTGATGGTGGCGTGGTGGCATCATGTCAGCTGTCCCTCATGCTGACCCCATCTGGGCCGAGTGGGACTGCTCCAGGGAGCCTTGAAAGACTGACCTTTCAGAAGCAGATCTGTTCATCTGTCTGCATGAGTTTGAACCACCCTCGCGGCTAATAGCAGAGCCTGTAACCATGTACGCCACTTATGCCCATGTTGAATGAGGGTGAGTAGATGAGGGGGTGCCCAGAGGCTCCTTTGGGCAAAGAGCGGAAATGACTGTCTTAGTTGAAGAACGAGGAAGCGCTAGTGGATGACTGTCAGCAGCAGAGTGATCCAATTAGAGGCTAAGTATGTTTTCACTGGACTATGCAAGTTACTCTAAGTCACTGTTCTTAGGAGGACAAACTAAAATTGGGTACAGGGTTGGTGCTGGAAAAAGTACACAAGTCAAATCTTAGTGTTTGGGGAGGTGGGAGAAAGGGTTCATTCCTTTAGCTGACTATGAATCTCTGTTGACCTTCCTGGTCATCTTCTAAATGATTAAAGCACTCCTTAGAGCAGTGGTTCTCAACCAGGGGGTTGTCGAACGACCTTTTCACAGGGGTCGCCCAAGACCATTGGAAACACATAAATATTTCACAATATATAATTAGATATTGTTTTGTGATTAATCACTGTGCTTAAATTTTTTTTAATTATGTTCAATTTGTAACAATGAAAATACATCCTGCATATCAGATGATTTACATTACGATTCATAACAGCAAAATTACAGCTTTGAAGTAGCAATGAACATAAATTTATGGTTGGGGGAATTGTATGAAAGGGTCGCGGCATGAGGAAGGTTGAGAACCACTGCCTTAGCGACTGCCAGTTAGGACAGTCAAGCCCTGATGTGCACCTGTCTTTCCAGACGCCCAAGAAGAATTCCTGGAAATCCCCGAGATCTTCTACAGCAACGCCAGGAAGGCCCCCTCGTACACCACAGGCTCCAAGCTACCCCCCAGAAAGGCTGTTGGGACCTCCTGCAGAAGTGACCCCTGAAAAACAGGCAGCGTTTCAGGAGCCCCTAAAGGACCCTTCCTCGTCTGGCTGTGATTCACCCTCTGAACTGACAGTAACTCCTCAAAAAGGATTCTTGCTGGCACAAGGCCTCACCTGCCCTCCACGAAAGAAGATGCCAAGAACTCCCACCGGGCACGCTGCTCAGCCCGCCAAGAGCCTGCAGACTGGTACTTGGTCACAGTCAGTACCTCCCAGTCCAGCGCCAACTGTCCAGACCAGGCGTGGGGTCCTGGTTCCTGTCGAACACTGTCTTAAAAAGCCCTTGAAACCAGCTGCCTTGGGGCTGCCAGGAGAGACGGCCTTGGTGGACATCCACCGGAACCGGCAAAGCCAGGCTCCCCAGGTCCCTGGAACTTTCCAGGGAACAGAACAAGTACAAACACCAAGGGAAACATTGGTCAAAGCCCGAGCAAGAGCAGAAAGTCCACCTGTGCTTTCCTCCTCACCTCTTTCTCCAGAGGAGCCAGTTAGCTCTCCTTCAGGTGATGTGTCTGGGAAGAGTCCAAGTAGGGAGTCTTTGGTGGACTCTCCCCCCGCTAGAGAACTGGATTGGGAAGTACCCCAGAAATCACCCGATGTGCTCTCAACCCCCCCACACAACTCACACATGCATCAACCTGACACCCTCGCTCCTCCACCTCCCTCAAAAATTGCCAAAAGGAACAGAAAGAGTTCAAACCCCGTGGGGAGGCGCTTCCCAGGGCCCCAGCGTAACGCCTCAGGGTCCCCTGTGGGCAGCATAACTGGTGGCCAGAAGGAAGGGAGCTTCTCCCCAAGGTTTTCTCCGGAAAGCCACGGTGACCCTAGGGCTGGCTTGGGAAGAGACTGGCATTTCTCCTCCCCTTTGCTCATTTCCAGTGACACGGACTACCTCACCCTCCGTGAGGAGGCCCCCCATAACAGGGACCACATGGGAAAGAGCATTTCACCAGAACAAGGCCAAGTGCTCCAGACTGCAGTCTGTGACGAGCAGGCCCCTCTGTCTCACCAAGGGATTCCGCCATCTCCCCCTGCCTCTGGGTCCAGCTCACCCCTGTTGCCCTCCTGCGGCCTCAGCCACTCAGCTGGCGAAAAGCAGGGCCAGGAGGCAGCACACCGAGAACCCCAGAATGCCTCCACCAGCCCAAAGACCTACGAGGTTGAGCTGGAGATGCAAGCATCTGGCCTCCCGAAGCTTCGAATTAAAAAGGTTGAAGCGGGTTCTTGTTTGGATGCCGAACCTCCCTTAAGGAAGGACTGCTGGCTGGGAGAGGAAAGCGCCTTCCCAGAGCTGGGTTCCTGGGGCAGCAGGCCCTCTGCTAAACCCGACAGCAGCTACATGTCACCCCCCTGCCTCCGCTCCTCGCACAGCACCCCTGGCAAGAGTGGGGGCCAGATATACATCTGCCAGGCCTGGACCCCAACCCGCTGCCCCTCCAGCACCCCTTCTCCTTTTCAAGCAGAGGTTGGGGTACCTTGGACACCGTCGCCCAAGCACAATGGGAAGACACCTCCGGACACAATTAAAGACTGGCCCCGGAGAAAGCGGGCAATGGACTGCAGCGCAGGGGGAGGGGGGAAGGGGGAGGCCAGCTCGGACCTTCCAGGGATCAGGGCAGCCGAGCAGGAGGAGATGGAGCGAAGGCCGGAACGGCCCCTCAGCAAGATTCAAATCTTGGCGGATTTTGAACTTGAGGAGGGGGTGTGTCAGCTGCCAGACCAATCGCCTCCCAGGGACAGTATACCAATGACTGAGGACGCCTTCTCTCGGGCACAGTTTGGATGGGGCTCCCTGAGAAGATGCCTCTCTGCGAAGGAAGAAGCTGAGGGTTGGGCCCAAAGCACCCACTGTGACAGCCAGAGAGAAGACGGGGAAGGGAGCAGCGGAGAGAGGTCTCTCTGTGCTGGTGGGGGGCAGCTCCCCTCCATGGGGGAAGGGGCCTTTGTGTCAGGTGAGTTTGTTTGTGAAATTCGTCTTGTGAGTGGTTTCTGGTGGGAAGTGGGTCATGGGAGGAGGCAAAGGAGCCAGAACCTAGTGGCACTGTGAGCTGAGCACTGGAGTGCTAAGCACCAGGTCCAGGGTTCAAACCCGCAGCCACCTGGCAGGAGAAAGATGAGGTTGTCTGCTCCTATGAAGATTTACAGCCTGGAAAACTCTGCGGAGCAGTCCTCCCTGCTCTGCAGAATTCACTCGCTGGCAGTGGGTTGGTTTCTCGAGCAGGGAGCCTGCATGACTATTAACCCTGGACTCCGTATCTAGGTTCCACCCCGCCCTCCGGCTTCGTGGTCCGGGGCTGCCTTTCTGCCAGTGGTCTCCAGGCGCTGACTCAGTCTCCACTACTGTTCCAGGGAAGGACGCCATCTCAGCATACAGACACCAGGGGTAACTTGTCTGTGAAAAGTCCCAGATCTGGGGATTCCCGAGTTAGCTCAGATGGTCAGGCAAATAGCTTCTGGGGGAGGGTCTTGGGGATGCTGAAATGAGTTTTGCCACCAGTGTCATGTGCCCTTCCCAGAGACCCTCCAGTCGAACTGTGCATCTCCATAGAAACCCACTCAAACTCGTACTGAAAGGTGCTGCTCCAGGAAACAGACGTGGTAGAGTGCATTGCTATTGCTAGTTTGATGATTAGAATCTGAAAGGGTTTGGAGGCACAGCAGTGCTGAGGGGCACGTTGGGCAGCATTTCCCAGTAGTGGCTTTATGCCCATGTTTTCTGGTGTATTCAGGCTTTAGGGTGCCCTCCTTCCCATGGAGTGAAAACATCTAGCTTGTTCAAGGGCACTGATTTGAGGGGTTTCCTGCTATAGAACTGAGGGAGAAAAAAGGTGTGGTAGGAGGTGAAATGACTGTTTTCAACACTTCTTCCTCCGGGGCCAGGAGGTGAATCACACGTAGCTGGGTGCTTCGGCATAAAGGGTGGTGGGTGGTAAGACATGGGTAACTTGGAGGGGGCAGTAGCAGCAAGCCCACCCCTAGGGTGACCCTCTTGCAGTTTAAGCCCATTTTCTTTTGTGCTGCCTTCCATTACTTTCTGAATCCTAAATTTCTGCCTCTTTCCAGATGAGGATCTGGATGGATTTGCCTCCAATGCTGAAGAATCTCCCTTCAGCCGTGCGTTCTCCAGGAGACGCCCCATCAGCAGAACATACACGCGGAAGAAGCTGATTAGCTAGTTAGCCCAGAACTAGGTCGTCGGACTTGTAATTATAGAAACACTACCGAGTGGGTGCTGGGAGCAGCCATGTCCCTGGATTGTCAGAAATAGGACACTGAGACCATAAAGGAGTTCTTAGCGCTGTGCCCACAATGGCGGTTCATCCAACCCAGGCCTTCCTGCTCCACATGAAAGCTCGGGTCCTGCTGCACTAAAGCAGAGCCAGCGGGTCTGTTTGGCCACATTGAGAACAGGCCAAAGGTGCAGGGCCGCCAGCCAGGCCCCGCCCTCGCCCACTGCTGGGTTTGTTTTGTTGTCTTTTATCAGAGTCCAGCTACGGGGCCAAAGTGTTTATACCCCTCCTGGAATCCATCCTCCCTAGGGCTGCCCCTCAGTAGGAAGGTTGAAGGAGAGAGTGAGCATTGTGGCTGGTGCTTAAAGTCACAGGCAGCCTGGGAGGTCAGGAAACCCAGCAGGGACTACCACTGGGAGTCCCCCACTCCCACTGGGACCAAGTCAGAGGACTGCTGTATGCCTCCCTTGCTTGTGAAATGGGAGACAATACCCTACCTGGGTGGTGCCCTCACCACTGCTGTGGCACAGGGAGTGCTCGGTAAATGGTACAAACAAGAATGTGAACCTCCAACTGTGTGGGAGGTGACTGCGTGGACTTTTGCATCCCCTCTGTAAACTCGCCTCTGGCTGAATTGTCTGATGTTCCCATTTAAGGCCACGGTCCAGCTCTGATGGTTCCTAGAGTCAACCTGAGTCAGTGGAGGATGTTAACAGGCCCAGAGTGCCCCAGACCAGTGTGATGGTCAGTCTTGGCTAGGCACTTGGCTAGCAGGGTGGGAAATTCAAAACTATCTTACTCTCTCGAAAGCTTTTGAGGCTGTTGTCCCAGATGCCACGCCACCCCAAGATGACTTGTACTATATTGTTTTGGTTTTTCTGGGCTTGTACTATTATAAATCAACCTCAAAGTAAAACTCCTGTTCCTTCCTTTAGACAGTTTATTATAAAATGACTTTGTAAAAAATCTTTTAAGAATGTGTGAAGTATCCAAGCTCCCCATATGTATGTATGTACACATATGCATAGATGGCCCTTTAAACCACAAACCTGTGGCCACTGACCAATTTGGAGTGTTTGGTGCACCCTGTGGCTATGTGGACATGGACTCCACTTGTAACTGGGCTGGCCCTTGAGGAACAGCCACAGTGGCCACCAGGTGCTGGTAGGCAATTTGCTGTAGGTTCTTTTTTAACTGAGTCTAGTTCTAATTGGTTGACTCCCATTCACATAAAGGAGACCAGGGTGTGAGGGAAGGACTGTCCTAAAAGCAACATGGTGGCAGGAGTAGCTCCCAGCAGGACCAGACTCCCCCTCTAAGTGCTGTCTGCCCCAACGCCTACAGGGGTTTTTTCCTGACATCAATCATCCCAGAGCTGGCTCTCCGCAGCTCCCACCGGGGCTTGGGCAGGGGTCCCTCAGCCCCAGGCAGTCCCCACCCCCCAAGGGTCTCAGTCGTCTCCCGCTGCCTCAGCTCCTCAGAGCATCCTTGCTCATTGGTGCACAAGCTCGAGCGCCTCCATGTCGCCGGCAGTGGAGCTCGGACCAGGGTGCGGGGGGGGCCCTCAGTGAGGGGGGGCTGCCAGGGATGCTCTGGGGCTGGGTGAGGCTCCTCGTCATTTCCAGAGAATGGTCGGTTCTCCAGGCTTAGGGTCTTCTCACCACCTGCCACCAACATGAAACCTTGTCAGTCATAAAGGCACCAACACCTTCCCAGTGCCCCAGCACCACAAGCCACCGGTGAATGACCCAGTAAGAGCCGAATGAGGCTAGCCTCTATGCTTTCCCCCAGCGCAGGGCCGAGAACTGTCCAGCTCAGTAACACCAGGTAAAAATGACCCATTACCCTTGCTCTGACCAGGGGCAGCATTCAAACCGCCAAGCTTCTGTTTTAGCTCCTGGTTGATCCTCACATGGCGACCCAGTTCCTTCTCCAGCGCTTGAATCCTGGTCTCATACTGCCTCCTGCTGTCCGCGAGCCCTTCCCCGAGGTGGTCTAGAGGGGAAAGAGCAATGGCAAGGGCTGCAGACCTGGGCTGGGCAGGTGGGGTGAGCAGGGCCTCACCTCGGCTCTGCTGCAGGAGCAGCTGCACGTTCTGCTCATGCTCCTTCTGCTGCAGCGTCAGCTGCCGGTCCATCTCCAGGCGCTGCCGCTCCAGGGCCGCCTCCAGCCAGTAGACCAGCCGCTGCTGCTCCTCCAGCTGCATCTCCAGCTCCGAGAAGGCGACCTGCTGCTGGTGCTGCTCCTCTCGGAGTGTCACTACCTGCGCCAAGGCCAGACCAGACTCAGGCCCAGCCACCAGCGCCTCCACTGAGCAGCCCTCACAGTCTGCCCTTCCTGCTGGGCCTCAGGCGCCGCCTTCTAGTGATAAGTCCTAAGTAATCAGAGTTGGCTCTGGACCTGAAACTGATTTACCATGCCTGCCTTAAACCCAGCCACAAACGACTGAGCTGGCCAGAGCCTGGAGCTCGGGGACAGGGTTGCCTCAGCCTCAGCACGCGCTGGGCTGGACTGCGCGGCCAGGATGCCTGCAGCTACAGGTCACCCACAGGCCCCACCATCCTAACAACTGAAAGCATGCGCACATCGGTCAGCCCCTGCCCCCATAAAGGGCCAAGACGTGGCGTTTCAGGTTCATCACGAAAAATAGGTTCTGAAGAAGAGACTGAGGCAGCCCAGGAGGCCTGTTTCCAGAGTGGGAGGACAAGGGGCACTGGCTGGAGCTGCCAACAGGGCTCTCCCGCATGCGTTCCTGGGCAGGGGCCTCACCTTGTCAAAGTACTTGCAGAGGAGCGCCCTGGTCTCCGAGGAGGAGAGGTAGCTGAGCTTGGCCATGAGGTTCATCTCACACTGGGACAGCAAAGAGGCTGAGGCCCGCAGCACCCGCTGGCGGCAGGTGATGGCCTCGTTCTTGTACTCAATGGCAGCATCCAGGGCCTCAATGGCCTCGTCCAGCTGGAACAGCGTCCGCTCCTCCTACAGGAAAGGGGGGTGTGGGCGAGGTACAAGGTTCCTGCCACCTCGGAACACCCACTCAATAAGAAGGCCTAGGCACCCGCACTGGTCAACACGTGGCTACAAAGTGCCTTTGTATCCCCTCATCCTGAGGCGTCAGTACATCCAGAGAAAGGTTCTCTACCCTCCATGGCCGGAACAAGTTCTGCTCGCTGCCCGTGAGGGAGAGAGCCAGGCACCACTGGGGGCTGCAGGGATGTGCACGCAGGAGGCCCAGAGCAGGCCCGGCAGAGGAGATGTGCACCACGGGATCCTGAGAGCTGCTGAGGGGAGTGTGGAAACACATTTACATGGGCCACCACCAGGTACATGAAGCATAGTCAGGACATAGTCCTGTGCGGGGGTTGAGCTGGGTGAGATGTCATGAGAACGAGCCCACATTCCAGCTGGGAAGGAACTGAAAGGTCGGCCAGGAGTAACTCCTTTGCTTTACAGACATGGGGCTAAGGTGGGGCAGGGGCCAATGCAGTGGCAACCAGGCCTGGCGTGCGGCAGAACCTCGACCAGTGGGCCAAGCAAAACACTGCTTGCTGGGCAGATGGGAGGGCAATGGCGTACCTCAGGCGACAGCAGGCTGCCCTGCCTCAGCTTGCCGTCAATCTCCAGGCGCTGCTTCAGCAAGAGGTCCTTCTCCTGGCGCAGGTTGTCAATCTCCCTGCGGATCTGCTGCTGGCTGTGGGCGCTGCCCTGCCGCAGCTGCCCATTCTTCTCAGAGAGCTCCTTCTCCACGTGTTCAAGCCGGCTGGACACTCGCACGATGTCTTCACTGAGGGCCTGGGCCAGCGCCAGCACAAATGAGCAGTAGTAGCGCCACAAAGATGACAAAACAGCCCTGTTGTAGTGGTCAAGGAAGACGTGGGCTTCTGCCCACACCAACAACCAGGCGCGGAGAAGTGGCCCCCTGATGTGGCATGCTGCTCGGGGAGGGGTCTGGCTTTCAATTATGCAGAAACTTGGGGCCTGATGACTGCTGAGGCGAGGTCATTAGAGCAAGGGCCCTAGAGATGGCCGGGAGGACATGGACAAGTCATTCCTGAGCCAAGGCAGAGGGCCAAGTGGCTAGCTATGGGCATCGGCAGTCCTGGGAGCCTGCTGTGCAGAGTGAGGTCAAGGGCCATATGAATGACCCCGCTGCAGCATGAAGCTGCCTGGACTTGGCAGCACGTGCCCACGAGGGCCAGGTGGGGTTCCTGAGCGTTGTGCTCCAGGCCTCCAGGACAAGCACCTGTCACTGGAACAGTGGGTTTGCGTCTGACATCCACTCTGGCAATGTAAGATTCCACTGACCAGAGGAAACTGGCCTTCCCATCTGGCTTCTTATTAAAAAGGGAGTGTGTGTCGGGTTTCAACCCCAGGCCCGCCTGCCTCTATCACCAGCCAGGCTCTTTCTGGTTGGCCACACCACCTTTCTGTACCTGCTGTTCCAGGTTCTGCCTGCACAGGCCCTGAGTAGGTGGTTGTGGGAAGGGAACTTGGAGGTTCTGCTGCCCACACATCATCACCGTACACGGCAGCTCTGAGCTCCCCGAGGATCCAGAGACCAGAAGGACAGAGCTGCACCTGGAGGAGACTCCCCTCCCTAGACCTCAGCAGGCAGGAACTCCGCTCCCAGCAAGCTCACCTGGCTGGACCGCAGGCGCTTGCTCTCCAGGCCTGTCTTCTCCTGCAGCAGGGCCTCCTTCTTGCCCAGGATGGCCTCGCGCTTGTGCAGCTCCTCCCCCAGCTCCTCCAGTGCGCGGCGCTGCTGCAGCACCTTCTCCATCTCCAGGTCCAGCCACTTCTTCTGCTCCTCGATCTTCTGAGGGGCGGAGGGGAGGCAGCTGAGCCTTCATCCAAGGTCCAATGGGAAGAGGCTGCGCCCACCAGGGGAGCTTGGCCCTCAGCCCAAGTCCCACCTGCTGCTGCTCCAGGCTGATCACGGAGCCGTTGCTGCCGCTGCGTCGCTTCCTCTGGAACGCCGCGATCTCCTCCGTCTTGATCTTCAGGATCTTTTGCTGCTGCTCCTGCTTCAGTTCCAGCTCCTGGGGCAGGAGCAGCACCTCATCAGAGCCCTGCCTGCTCCCCCTCCCCACAGCCTGGCAAAGAGCTCCCCAGCCTCCGACACAAGGTGCCAGACCCTCTCTGACATTTCACCCAGTTCTCTCTACTCTGTGTGTTCTGACTCTTCACTTTCAGAAGAAAAGGCAAACTCCGAGAGGCTAAGTGGCCTGCTTTTCCGAAGTTCAAAAGGCGGTGGTGGGTGCCAGGGCGTCCCGGGCGGACTCCTCGCAGCTATGGGCCCCACCTTGACCCGGTGCTGCCGCTTGTGCATCTCAGTCTCCAGGCGGCGCTTCTGCTCGGTCTCCTCGCGCAGCCGTCGCTGCAGCTGGCCCTGCTGCTGCCGCATGAGCTGCACGTTCCTCTCCAGCTCCTGCAGCCGCTTCTCACTCTGGGCAGACAGTGACACCAGTCGCTCCGTCGCCTGCTTCTTCTCCTTCAGCACCTGGGACGGACCAATGCCACCTCCCCTGAGACTCCAGGGGCCTGGTGCTCCACCAGGGGGGATTAATGGATCGAGGGGCAGACAGATGAGGAACCAGGCAGGTGACTGAGGGACCATAACAATACCAGTAGCCAACCGTTTCTAGGGTGTTTCCTATGCCCCGGGCACTGCTTCAGGGGTTTTGTGTGGACTGAATAATCCTAAGAGGCTTGCCAGGGCTCGGTATGATTGTTATTGCCCCTGTCCACAGATTAGAAAGCTGAAGCATGGAGCAGCTAGGAAGCGTGACCGAGGATGGCCAATAAGTGGGGCCGGGATTCTAACCCAGGCAGCCCATGATGGACAGACAGCTGAGTCCATGACAGACAGAAGGATGGGTGGTAAGGGGTGAAAGGAAGGATAGCTTAATATAAAGAGATGGAAATTTCCCACAAACATTTTGAAGCCCCTGCTATATACTATAGGGTAGGTTTCCTTCAGGTGCCCACTCCCAACATACCCCTCCACTTGTCTCCTCTGCGGAGCCTGAAGCTGAGCCAGCCTGACCAGGAGAACTGGAGGGTGTCAGGACCCACACACTGACCTGCACCTGGCTCTGGGCTGCAGCCACCTTCTTTCGACACTCCTGGAGCCGGGAGCGCTCGCCGGCGTCCTGGGGCTCCCTGTCCTCCAGCTCCCGCAGCTGCCGCTGGCCTTCACTCAGCTCAGCCCGCACTCGCTCGGCCTCCTGCTCCAGCTCCCGGATGCGCTGGCTGTGCTGGCGGTTCAGGGCCTGGGCTGCCTTCCCTGCAAGTTGAGCCACCTTACCACAGGCCACCCCTCCACCAGAGCACCCTGTGCATCACCAAGAGATCTTGCAGCCCGGTCACCAGGGCACCCGTGTAGGTGTGTGCACCTCCAGTGTGTGACTGCTGCACATCTCCCTGGAAGTCAGCTCGCTGGACATTAGCCTCGACCTCAGCAGTGGCCCAGGGAGCCAGTTGTCTATTTGCCTAACACACATGAAAACCCATAACTGGAACCTGCTTCTAAGAAAGCTTCTGGAATTAACCTCCATTTCCACAGGAAGCACGAGAGCGGGAAAGAGGAACAAATTGCCTGACCCCATGAGAAAGTAAAGAGAAAGGCCCAGAACACTCGGAGTCTTCTACAGGGCTGAACTGGTGAGACAAGGGGACTCTGGAGACCAGACAGCACATTTACTGTGTGGAACGGTTTGCAGCCCGGTTCACGCAAACCAGCCGGAAACGGACACTGTGGAACAAGCCAGGATATGTGTTCATTAGCTGACGTTCAAGAAATGACAGGCAGGCTGGTGGCATTAAATTTGGGTGGAAAAGGACACATTTCATAAAGAGACATACAGAGAGGCGTGGGGATAAGATTATCTGATACACCTGGGATTTGCAAAGATAAAAATGGTGAGATGAGACAAATGCCGCAAAATCTAGGCAGTGCTTTCCGGAGAACTACCCTAAGCACTTAACCTGGATGAACTCTTCCCCCTCCCAGCAATCCTATGAAGAGGAGTTGTGCTCCATGTTGAAGGTCACCCAGCTGGAATCGGCTAGCTCCAGAACCCCTGCTCTTTACCACCACACTGCCAACCCACTGCCATAGCGTTAGTTCTGACTCACAGACCATGTAAGACAGAGTAGCACTGCCCCATGGTTTCCACAGTTTCGATCTTTACAAATGCAAATGGTCACCGCTTTCTCCTGCAGAGATGCTGGTGGGTTCGAATCTGACCTTTCAGGGAGCAGCGCCTTCTAGAAACTTAATAGTGACAGCTGGGGAGAGGGGCCACCGCTAACCTGTGCGGACCAGCTCTGCGATGAGCTCCTCCTTCCGTCGGATGTTGATGGCCAGTTCCCGTATCTTCTGCTGGGCCTGGGCCAGCCGCCACTCGGAGGCCATGGCAGCGGGGGCCAGGCGGTGCCGAGCGGAGGCCTTGCTGCCTCCAACCACTGCAACAGGCAGACTGATCAGGGGTGGGGGTGGGGGTGGGGGCCTTGGTGACAGTGGGGGTGAAGGCAAGAGGGTTAAGAGGGTTGTCAGCCCAGGACCATAGTGAGGGGAAGGGGCCCCTCACCACACGGCATCCAGCTCACCTCTGGGCGCCGGGAGCGCTACACCCAGCTCTTCAAGTGGAAGCTCTGGGCCTTTCCTGTCTGGCGCACTCCTCAGGTGGGCTCCTACCTTCGGGTTCCAGCCACTGATTCCATTTCTGGAAGGTGGAAGCAGGGCTGCCTACTACTCCCCATTCTCTGTCCCACCTTAAGTCACCTCCCAGACTAGAATGGAGAAAGGTCACTGTTTCACCCACATCCTAGGGTCACATGCCACCCGAGGCAAATCTCACCAAACTCTCAGCCTAGGAAGTGCCTGGCAAGTGAGGGCCACCCTGCAATCACCCACCCCAGGGAGTCCTCAGCTTGGCTCAGAGCCCACAGCCCCACCCGCTCTTGCACCTGGCCAGCAGGTGTGAAAGCTCCAGCTGTTAGAAACCAAGGTAGTGGGTGGGTTTCGGGTCTCAACCCACCCAGGCCCCATGCTCAGCAGGCTCAGGCAGGGCTCCCTCTCACCTGCGCAGCTGTAAGCTCCGCCTTGGAGGCTCCCCGCCCTGCTCCTCCGATGTAGTCGAAGAGCCGCTTCCCAGCCTGTCTGCCTCCACAAGCAAGCCAGCACTGGCCTCACTGTCACCTGTCAGCTGCCAGAGGAATGATAGAGTTTCACAACGGATGCCTCCTCCTCATCAGCCAGCTTTGAGCTGCGGTGTACCTGCCTCGCACAGCCTCCCCGCATCTCCGCCTGCCTTCTACATCTCTGACCTCTGGGAAGCCCTTCCACATCCCGCCCTCCGCAGGTGACAATCACAGCAGGTGACAATCACCCTTTCCATGTTTAACGCATGTTGTCTATCCCCAAGGCTTCTCTCACATCAGCATCCCCACAAGCAGCAATGTCCTTCTGGAAGCGGGGCTGCATGCCTTTACTCCACTCTTTACAGGCCTCTGCAGACCCAAGTCCTCCCACCTCAGCCCTGTGGGCTTTTAAAATGGAGGCCCAGAGCCTCCAGGCAGGGAGCGGAGGTTGCCCCAAAGCCCGTGTGGTCAAAGCAGACAGAGCAGGAGACAGACTACAGCTCAGAACAGTGAAGGTGTGAAGAGCCATCCAAAGACAGGGCATGACCTTGGAGGGGTGAGCTCTCCATCTCTGGAGGTGTGCAAACTTTCCACTCACTGCCAGAAACCATCCCAGGGACCCACTACCCAATAGCACCTGAGCCCTATGAGAGGCCTCCCAGCCCTTCTGCCAGGGGCACCTGCCAGAGCATCTCATCTCACACCTGGCCCCAGGCCCAGCTTACCTCTCCCCACTGTGCAGAACCAAGGTCCTCTCCAGAAAGGCAAGCAGGGGGCACCATGCCCAGCAGGTGGGTATGGGCAGCCCCCAGGGGGGCTGTGTGAGGCCGGAGCACAAGAGACCTCGGAGACAGGCCCCACAGAAGCCCCGGGGCCCCAAAGCTGGGCCGCACCAGTTCCAGCCGCAGCCGCAGCTCCGCCATCTCCTCCTGCTGCTCACGCAGACGGTCACTCTGCAACGCACAGAGGGGCGCTGAGATGGGGTGTGGATGTGGGAGACGGGGATATGAGGGTGGAAGGGCCAAGAGTGCCTACCAACAGGCAGAGATGGGGGAGACTGAAGAACAGGTCTGGGGCTGCCTCGCCTTTCCTGGGCTAAAACTCACACACTAGGCTTATGTGCCGGGAAGGAGAATAACCTGCATACCCATTTTACAGATGTGGAAGTGAAACTGGACACCCCAAGGCCACCTAGCCAGTGTGACGGGTTAGGCTAAGCCCAAATAACGCTGGGATACAGGCCAGGGATGAGGAAGCCATAATGTCCTCCATTCTGGTCACCTCTAGGCCACAGGGACCAGTCTCACTACCCCGCCCATCCCCAACCCTCCCAGTCATCCAACCACTGCCGATAATCACCACCAGAGGGCGCCAAAGCCGACTTTCTGGTCACTAAGGACCAAGAGGCGGGGCCTGGCTATGTCCCGTCTTACTGCCCTTACATTCCTATTGTCCAGCATACTCGTGACCACCCAGCAACACTGCTGCCTGGACGCCCATCCACCACCACCACCCCGTTCATCACCCCCACGCTTTTGCACCTGCAGTGCGCCCACCCTGCCCGCTGAGCTGACCCCCTCCCCCTCACAGGCTCCTGCAGGTGTCAGCAGCCCCAGGCATCCCACCTGCAGTTTGTACTGCTCCATGGCATCCTCCAGGGCCGCCAGGAAGTCTCGGTTCTCCTCCTCCAGCTGGGCCACCTGGCTCTGCAGTGTCTGAAGCTGCTGGCCCCCCTCCGCCTCCTAGGGGGCAGGGAGAGCAGTTTCAGGGCAGAGCTGACCTGGCAGGCCTGCCTCTCCCTGGCACACCGGACTGCCCTGCCTGCAATGAGGCCGGCAGCCCCCCACCTGGCCGGAGTCTCCTCTGCAAGCCTAAGCTAATGAATCGTATTTCCATTGCTAATGTCCCCAGTGCTTTAGAATGGGCTAAATCTTCACCAGCATGCTGGGTTCCCACTGCATTCACAGAACCCCCAGGTGAGCAGGTGACCCACCTCACAGAGGCAGGACCTGGGGCCAACTGAGGCTAAGAAACATGTGACAAGTCATCAGGAGAAGTGACTTGAGTTCTGAAGGAGTTCTGCTAATGGGCAGAACGGGCTGTTTAAAAACCCTCTCCATCCCGGCCCTTCCTCCCCTCCTGTCCAGGGCTCAGGGACTGGGGTCCACCTGTCGCCTTCGTGGGCCCTGCGCAGCCTGGTCCTCGGCGGAGGAGCTCTCGATGCCACTGTCCGGCCCAGAGGCGGAGCTCAGGGCGCTGCGCCCGCGCTGGACCTCGCACAGCCAGTCGCGCACCTTGCGCACAGCCACGCCGGACAGGCCGGGCTCGGACTGCAGCTGGCGCAGGAGGCTGCAGGCGGCATCGGCGCGGGCCCGGCAGCGCGCGCACTCGGCGTCCTGGCGTGCGGCAGCGGCCGTGCCCGGGGCGCGCCGGCCTCGGTGGATGATGCGCGTCTCTGAGCGGTGCCGCGGCGGCCCTCGAACCCCGGCCCCTGCCTCCTCCAGCGCCCGCTCTGCCTCGGGCCGCCAGTTGATGGTGGCGCGGTTACAGATGTTCTGGGCCCGGCTAGCATAGTTCAGGGTGTTGAGGGTCTCATCGAAGTCAGATGAGGAGGGGCTGACGCAGGCAATCATCACCGTCTTGGCATTGCCCCCGAGGGAATCTTTGAGGATTCTGAGGGTGCGGAGGCGAGGTGTGTCAGGGACGCCCAGGCCCAGCCAAACCCAGCTGTTTTCTGTGCAAAGACCTCGTGGCCTCGGACACTGAGCCAGCGGGGCCGTAAGTCAGCGGGCGCCCCACCCCTTGCTAGGAGGCTTGACGCCCCCACTCCCAGCGGCCAGGTAAGAGCCAGGGCAGAAATGGATGACTCACCGGGTGATCTTGGAATCCCGATAAGGGATGTGGCTGCTGCGGCGCTGAGGGTCGCCCAGGGCGCTGATGACGTTGCCCAGCGCCAGGAGGCTGCTGTTGATCTGGATGCTCTCTTTGAGCCGCTCGCCAGTGCTGCCGGTCTTGAGGACCCTCTCGGAGCCCGCCAGGTCCACAAAGTGGAACTTGGAGACAAGCAGCTGGCTCGCGGCGGGGCAGGGCAGGCACATGGGGACCCGCCCCCGCTGCTCCAGGGTTACAGTGAAGATGGTGTGGGAGCGGCTGGAGAGGCGGTTCAGGTGCGTGGCCCCGGTGTGCCGTGCCGCATTGCCCATCTCCAGGAGGCTGAGCACCTCGTCCAGGCCCTCCACGTCCACCTCCTTCACCCCACAGAGCACTGTGGGCACAGCCAACTGTGAGGCCCAGGGCAGTGGCTACCTCACAAGGCCCTTTACTTGCTCTTCCTGGCCCAGGTCCCCCCACCCCCACTCCATGCACAGAGCACCCTTCCTATCCTGGCTCGTGTCCCCCCATGCCCACCACAATTCCACTCACTCTGGGAGCTGAAGTATTACTGAACTTGTGCATACAGGAGAGGTGCCCCTCCCACACAGGTACATCCCCTAGCAGAGGTGAGGCTTCCCCGTGCCAGGTGCCCTTCTCGAACCCTACTAGAAGAGGAAGAGCAGGGTCCTACCAACATTGCCTCGGTCATCTTCCCGCAGCTGGATGTCACGGCTGGCAGTGCCCACCTCAAGCAGGTCTCGGAACTCCTCCTTGTACACTTCCAGGTAGGACACATGCACCAGGCAGTCCAGCAGGTCGTTCTCGTCCATCAGCTTGAAGGCCTCGGCCATGGCCCTCGGGATGACGCCCTGCTCATCCTCATGGAGGGAGGCTGGGGGGACACCACAGGGGCCTGCTACCTTGGCTGCAGCTGGCCAAGGCTAGAGGCTGGGACCCTGAGGTGGGCAAGGTAGCCGCCAAAGCCACTGTGGGCTGGGCAGACTGGGCCAGGCCATGCTCAGGTGGTCAGGGGCCAGGCCAGGCAGGACTAGTGGCATTTCAGAATTGGGTGATGGTGTAACGGGCTTTGTGTCCGACTGCTAGCCACAGAGTCGGCAGTTTGGGTCACCAGAGCCTCCCTGGAGAAGAGAGGCAATTTTCTGCTCCTGTAAAGTTTGTCTCAGGAACCTACAGGGTCAGTTCTACCCTGTCCTACAGGGCACTATGAGTAGTAATCGGCTCAATGGCAGTGAGAGTTTGGGTTTTCTAATGGTTCAAAGCACCCCTTTGGTGATGCAAGCACCCCCTCCACACTACATCCCCAACAGAGATCAGGTCCCATCGACTATACTCCGTTACCGAAAACAAACAAACACACCACCATCACGTGGAGTTCAGCTCACAGCGACCCTGAAAGGGACAGAAGAGACTGCTCCTTAAGTTCTCTGAGAGCATGAAGCTTTATGGGAGCCTATAGTCTCATGCCTTAGATTTCTAACAGAGCAGCTGCTGGCTTTGAACTGCCAACTTTGCGGTTAGCAGCCGAATGCTAGCCCACACCACCACTGGGGTACCTAAAAACCTTTAAAGAAGGATTATATCTAGGATTATGTCTATCTATATAAGATAGACAGGACAAGCAATCTCAAGGAGACAACAACGGGACTAAAGGTTGGGGAGGGGAGGGTAGTGGTGAGGGGGTTGTGAGATGGGGGAAAGGGAATGGTGAGTAAATACGTTAGGGACAGGGGAATAGCAAGGAACCTACATCTCTGATGGCGAGGAGGTGTAGTGTCCCTGGTGTGTCTGATCAAGTGAGATGCACCCAAGAGGAATTACTGAGAGATGAACGATGGGCAAACATGATAGTGAGGCAGGAGAAAAGAAAGAGGAAACAACCGGGAGTAAAAATTATGTATATACGTAAATATAGATATGTATATATGTAAAGATATAACTATATAAAGATAGGTGTATTTGTCTATGTATGTCTATATAAGTAAATACAATAAGTAAGCAGACTTTGGGCCTCTACTTAAATCCTACCTCAGTACAAGAATGGTTTGTTCTAATAATGTGGCAATGTATGATACTCATCTTCCTGAAGACAAAATGGGTGCATAAGCAAATGTGGTGAAGAAAGCGGCTGGTTACTAAAAGATACAGCACCTGGAGTCTTAAAGGCTTGAAGCTAAACAAGCAACCATCAAGTAGGGAAGTAACAAAGCCAACATGGAAGAAGCATGCCAGCGTGTGTGATCATGAGGTGTTGATGGGAAATAGGTATCAGAAGTTCAAAAACAAGTGATCAAAATGACATGAAGAAACAGAGGCAAGGTAAAGCCCACCTGTAAAATAATGGGACAGTCCCTTGCAGAAGGGCCATACAAAAGGGTCGATATATTCAGGGGGCAGACTGATGAAACTCTCAACTATCCTCTAGTTCCTTAAAATTTCCTCCTCCTAAAAAAAAAATGTCCTCCTCCTATTGTTATGGCCTTAGTTTTAGCATACGAATCTTGCTAGACCTGCGTTTATACATTGGTGCAATCAAGATCTTTCAATGCATGAAATTCAAGATAGGTAAACCCCTCAGAAACAGTAAGGGGAGTAATAACTCCCTGAGGATACAGGAACAAAGATGAGGGGGAGGGGAGTAGAGCAGGAACTGATAGCAATGATGACTATATAACCCTACTCAAAGGGAACAGACATCAGAATTTTAGGTGATTGGATAAATGGATGGTGGAAGTTATACCCCCTAAAATAATAATAACATAATATATTGAGGGATAAGGGGAGTGGTAGGGTGGGGAAGGGAGGGGATAAATGGGAGCTGCTAAGGAGTTCAAAAAGAAAAGAAAATGTATTGAAAATGATGATGGCAGCAATTGTACAATTATGCTCGATCTAATGGAACTAAGGAATGTAATATTAACTGTAAGAGCTCCCAATTAAAGGTGTTTTTTTTTTTTAAGTATCCCAAAGAGGGGAAAAAAAAAAAAAAAGGCCATTCTAAGATGCCACAAAGCCCCTGGTGGAAAAAAGGGACTTTATATTCACAGTGGGATGCTAGGCAGTGGCTGAAAAATTAGACTGAAGGATATCTCATGATACAGAGAAATGGAACTATATCAGGATACAAAAGACGAAGTTCAATATAATCCCATTTCTGAAAAGTCTATTGATGTTCACAAAGAACCAAAAGCTAACAGAGTCAGCTTTGAAAGGCTGATTCAAGTAGGATTTGTTTGGTGCATGGGCTTTTCTGAAGTCTCCTAATTTTCTACCATAAACACGTATAACCTAAGAGAAAGTAGTTCATGTTGCTTAAGAGGGAGGAGTTCCTTCAATAACTCCAGGACACCTCCCCCAAAACAGTTGCCATTTCCAACTGTCCAACTAGAACACAAGTTCCTGATCTTTCACAGCCATCCGGAGACCTCCAAACATGCCAACCTCTGGCTGGCTCCTGGAATCAGCAGTGTGGCCCAGCTCTGAGGGGGCCCCTCACCTCCGACACCCTTTTATTTCCATTGAGGCACCAAAGGTTGATTCCTGCCCTGCCCAGCCCACATGACCGATGCCACTTGGGCTGCAGATCTCTGCATATACCCCCTGCTTCCCCTCCTCCAGCCCCACCCCCCACCTTCAATAGCATATGGGGACAAGAGGGCAGGGTCAGAAATTTGGGAGGGTCACTCACCCACACTGGCCTCCCCCATGGTATACGTCTTCCCGGAGCCCGTCTGGCCATAGGCAAAGACAGTGGCATTGAAGCCCTCAAAGAAGGCCTTGAGGAGGGGCTGCACGCAGGTCTGGTACACAGCCTCCTGGCTGGTGTCCTCAGCCAGCACAACACTGAAACCAAACTGGCGATTGCGGCCCAGGGTGACTCGGCTGCATCCCGGCTCCACATGAAGGCAGCTCTGGTGCCCGTGCAGCAGTTCCTTGGGCAGCAGGGGTCGGACTCGAAGCGCCACTCTCACTGGGGCCTCCTCCACCCCTGGCGGTCTCTGGGCCTCCAGCCCCATTTGCAGAGGTGGAGGGTTGCTTCAGGCCCTGCAGAGAGAAGAAGAGATCTCTGCCATTAGCACCTGAACTCTGATGCTGGACTAGCCCCAAAGGTGACCTGGAGCCAGGTCCTGAAGGTCCTGAAGGGGTGGGAGTGGATGATGGTGGCAGAGGACAGTGATCAAAGTTCAGAACATCTCACACACACAGTCTAGTGCCTGGGTGCTGTGGGCAACACACTGTGGACACAGAGGTTCCTGGTGCTATCGCAGCTAAATAAGGCCTTACCTCCAAGGAAGTCCTTTAGCTAACACCCCGCCAGATTTCCCATAGTCTCTTCCTTTGCTTTACCACATCCACCACTGCCATCAAGTCGATGCTGACTCAAAGGGACCCTATAGGATAGGGCAGAACTGCCCCTATAGGTTTCCGAGACTGTAACTCTTCACGGGAATAGAATGCCCATCTTTCTTCCTCCCAGTGGCTGTTGGTTTTCAAACTACTGGCCTTCAGGGTAGCAGATTGTGGGATATAAAAAGACTTTCCCCAGCTTTGTCTCCCCCAAAGATATGCCAAACCTTACAGGCTATTTGCCAGCACATGGTGGGAGGTCAGAGGCTTAGAGATATTCTCCCTGAAGGCATTCAGCCATCAGACCACTGTCTGGTCCACTGTAGGTGGGGTTCAAACCCTGCTGATAAGGATAGTAATCGTTCCATGGAGAGCCAGAGAATTGGTCAAACCTGCTCAATGACATCCAAAGTTAGGCTGCCATCCTGAATCTAAGATCCACCCATCTTGTCACATGTGTACCCCCAATCCCTCCCCTTCCTATTGCGTGTATACCCTTACATCTCCCCCTCTTATTACTGTATTACCTATAGCACAACCCCTTCCTATGACGTATGTCTTTACCTGTAATTAGGGGGCCTGCACATCCCCAAAGGATAGATAAGCTTTGGTTAGAGATAAAGCTCTCTCTCCTCCAGTCCCTGGTTCCTCTCTCCTCTGGCCCTCTTCCCTCTCCCCCTGTCCACCTTCCCCCTCCCACTCTCCACATCCCCAGGTGGACCACCAAGCAGAGCTAAGGTGAGCATGCTACCATGAAATGTGTCTGATTTCTTCATTTTATTCTCTCCTATCTCTATTATTCTCTATGACTTTAATCTTTACATATTATCGCTGTACAATTGCGCCTGCTGGGCCTGTGATTATTTGTTAGGGACTGGCTCCCCTGACAGCAGATCAATGCATAACTCACCCAGGCCCCAGGGTTCCTCTTCCTACCACCAAGTCCTGCCCAGTCCAGCCTCTAAATATCAAGTCTACTACTTCTCACAGCCTATTGAAATGCCCAGGAGCTTTGGTAGGGCCAACAAAACAGGGTGACCAGCTTTTACCAGTTTCTCTCCAGTCTCAACCTCCATGGCCCCTCCCTACAACCAGGGGCATCTTTCAAAAAAACACCAGTAAGATCATCCCATCCCAACGCTAAGTACCCATGGGATTCAAAACCTGCTGACCCTGTCACCTCACTTTTTCCTATCACCCCATGTCTGTCTTCCCCTGTCTATCTATGTGATTAAAGGGGCCTCATCCCTGAGGGAATGGGTTGGGCATACCCTCCTGTAAGGATCTCAGGGAGAAGCTCCACTTCCCGCCACTCTGCTCTTCGCTCACACCCACCTCACCCCCCTAGGCCACTGACCTCTATGGTTACCTGTTAATCTTGCCCCACCAAGGAGACTGGGAGCCCAGGACAGGGGCCTTCTTTGTGCCCTTTGTATTATACACCCAGCACCCAGCACAAGGTCCTACACTTAGAAGTTGCCCAGCAAAGAGTTAAGAATCTTTATCCAAAGGTCCATCCCATCCTCCCCCAGGCCCACAGCACTTTATTATATTGTTTTTACTGTTTTTACTTCAGCCCAAGTTCACGCATCCTTTCAAGCGTTCGTTCAATCCCTGCAGGGTGTCCAGCCCTGGGGCCTGGAGGTACCTCGGCCTTTGGGCACTCCCACCGGGTTTCACTAGCTTCCAGAATCCTTTTCCATTTCACGTCACTGCTGTGTTCCACGCACCGACGGCAAGAAAAGTTTTGGAGAAGTGATTACAAACGCGGGCGGGCGGCCCGGCCTGGCAGCCGCACGCTCGCTCATTCAGACCAGGCCCGGGGCCCCGGCCTCAGCCCTCCTACTTTGGAAGGGGCGCCGCTAGTCCAGGGCGGGCCCTACGAAGGCCAGTGGACACTAGGGGCGGGGCGGGGGGTGCTATCCGTTCATGCTCAGAGCTCTCCCGGCGCCCCCGGCCCCCGGCTGCACACGTAGGGGTCAGGCGCGCGCCTCCCCCAATCCCAGCGGGTCTTCGCCCTCCACCCGATCCTGGACAGCACCCACCTGCTCTGCTACGAGCGCAGTCCCGGGGCCAAGCAGTCTGCCTCGGAGCCCCAGCACGGCGCGCTGCGATGCCGTCATCTGGACCCCCGCCCCCAAAACATCCCGCCCCTCACCCTCAACTCCGCCCCCGGGGCTAGTGAAGGAGGAGGCACGAGCCGGCCCGCACACGGGGCGGGGCCCGCAGACGGGGCGGGGCCTAGTGGGCGGGGCTACACGTCCACTTTTTCCGCCGCGCTGCCTGGCTTCTCGGCGGGTTCTCCTGCAGAGCGGCTGCCTGTCATGCAGACTTATTGGTCACCATGACTGATACAGGGAATACCTGTGCGGCCCAAAGGGGGGGAAATGCCACAGCTAGCTTCTCGTGAACTCACCCAGGGGCCCCTTGAAAAACAAACTTGTGGATCTATACCTCTGAAAGGTCACAGCCAGCCTTAATGACCCTATGGAGCCGTTCGACTCTGAATACATTGATTGGGTCACGAGCTTGAATCAACTCCATGGCAACTAACACCATGGCTTCTATGCCCACACTGTAGCCACAGAGCGGCAGAACTGCACAGAGCATGCCTGGAAATGGAGCAAGTCCCACAGACGCATCTCATTGTCTTCTAGAAGTCACCTCTCCAGAGAGGACACCAGACAACCCCTGTGCCCAGTTCAGAATCCCCACTTCTTCCATCGCTTGTTTCCACTCGAGCCCTGCTGGTGTGGTTACCAGTTGGGCTGTGATTCCTCATGGTTGGCAGTTCAAAACCACCACTAGCTCTGCTGGAGAAAGGTGGAACTTTCTACCCCTGTAAAAAGTTACATAAAACTCACGGGCAGTTCCACCCTGCCCTATAGGGTCACTGTGAGTCCATAGCTACAGTCAGTGAGTGAGAGTTCTACCCTGCCCTACAGCCTCACTATGAGTTCGACTTCACTGGATGGCAGTGAGTCTGGTTTTCTTGGAGTTTTTGTTTTGTTTTGTTTTGGACAGCAGGGAATTTGGACTTTGGAGTACCAGCCCCATCCTCAGTCAAAAACAAAGAGGAAATGTCCATCTTCCCAGGTTAAAAAGACATGCATATTCTCACATTTGAACATTTTAAAAATTGAGTTGCATGTAAGTCGTTGCCCAGGGAAGCTTGGCCCCTGGTGAGACAGGGGACATGATGGGGGCTGTGCACACCCAAGCTTAAGGAAATGGAGTCCTCATCTGAGAAATCTCTGATGGAGGGTTTGCACTGGGAACACCATGCATAAAACATCATTAAAATCTGAAAACGGTGGGGAGGTGGGTGTGGGAGACCTGGTAGGGCAGGATCAAGGGGAACGTAACAAAGAGGAA